AGGAAGTCAGGTACGGATTACAATTCCTAACAAAGAAGTCCTGAAATCCAAGGGGAGATAAGGTAAGAAGTCAGGCAGGAGCCAGCAGACATGACTCAGTGAAAGGAGCCTGCAGCCCACCCCACCCTCCTCAGCCGAGGTTCCCGGGTCATGCCTCTTTTGCCTTATGACCCCTTAAAGGCATAGCTTGGCCTCAGACATCAATGTTTCCCAAGATTCTGTCCCTTGTCATCTTCTCTACCCTGTATACTTTCTCCCTAAATGTTTAGCTACTTCCAGGATTTTGCCTGTAATTTGGGGTAATCAGACACCAAAATATATCTCCAGCCAAGAAATTCTTGCCTAAATTCTAGACAATAATTTCCTATTTAAATTTTCTTCCTGCCCCTCCTCTGCCCCCAACCCCACCCAAGGCTTCTGAGGCATGTAAAGCTATCATAGATATTTCATTTTTATATCTGAATTCCCTTCATCACACACTGTGGCATTCCCACATCTTTATAATTCACCAGAGGAAAAAAATGGAGTAGAAAACATGGCATATTCTCCTGTATTAACACCTGATAAACTTTTCACTGGAGTGTTCAAATGCATGTCTTCATGACCTTTGGGTATCCTAAACCACACTAAATATTACAAATTATGTTTCTAAAAGTAGGCTACATTCTCAGAGGGATGACCTCAGCTCAAATAATGCGAACATCTAAAATCCCTTTTTAATTTTTTTTCTATAAAAGGTAACCCATTTTCTATTTGGAAAAGGGCCTTTCCAGAGCCTTTTATTAAAAATGAGTGTCAAAATCCTGCACAAAGAGCAAGTTTTAAAGCTTTAACCAAGAGGTATGGATGGAAAGTATAAATGTACCATTTTGGAGGGAATTCTACTCACAGCGCATGTACCTTGTGCGTGGAAGTATCAGCCTATCATACTGTTTAAAAAAATGTGAAGGGAACCTGTGGAAGCAAATGATCCAAAAAGGACAGGGTTTAATATTTTTTAAACCTGTCAGATGTCTCTAATTACAGAAAATAGTTATATAAAATTTACATTAGATCTCAGAGACTAACTAGATTGCCAGGACAGCTTCGTTCTATAAGAGAAAAGCATTGTTTTGAGGACTTGGCTCATCAATTAATGAAAGCTGAAAAACTAGCTATTTGTCTGAAATGCTTTATTATTTCTTACGAGAGGCTACTCTTGTGTTCTTTGTGAGTTCATCAAATACAATCCCTTGCTGGAAATCTAAATCATCATTTGAAA